AGGAAGAGTTTAGCCTTGGATAAGGACAAATTGATTAATGACCCACATTAACATAAATCCAGAACAATCTGGAGAAGGACTGAGGCGATCAGAGCCAGACAACTGTTTGCACAAACCTGAACAATATTATACTGCAAGGCTGCTGTATCGCAGGCATAAATAAACCAGGACCATGCTAGACACAGTGGGTTTTATGCTTACATTACTCATACATAATTCTATCACTGGTAAAAGGATGTACATTGCTACAGGCTTCATGGTTGTCCTGGCACCAGGTGTGAGACATACCACAGTTTTCTTGATTCCAATCTCCGTGGTCTTCCATTCTATACTGCCCTACTATGCTTCACTTCTTCAGCAGCTCTCCAACGGGCATTCACTATCAAAATTGTAGTAGTTGATACATTATGTCAACTTGAGAAGTTAGAAGCTTAACTAAATTGGCCCAGCAATTCCACACCATAGGGTGTGGAGGCTGTGCCCCAGAGTGTGGAAGCCCTGCCCTATAGTGACTCATTACTTAAAGGATTTAAAAAGCAATTGAGGAAGGATAGAGTGTTCCATTTCCTCTGAGAAGCTCTCATCTTTCCAGTCAGCTTGGACATTGTCTCCTGGCTTTTAGTGCAAACTTCAGTCTCCACCCTGGATCCTTCAGCCTTCTGGTATAGACTCATCAGCCTTCCATGACAGATCCATCAGCCTCCTGATACAGACTTGCAAAGAACACTGCAGTGAGCTCCAGACCTCGCTCTGAATCCTTCAGTCTCCAGTGTGCTGACACTCTCTGCATGCTTCCTCATCAGACTCTGGCGGACTGTCATAAGCCAATCTTGTAACTTATACATTTGTACATCTTTTGTTATATCTATTCCTCTAGTAAAACCCTGACTGATATAGCCACCTTCCTCTAATTCCTACAACTACTTCCAACCCAGTCCTCTGTCTACAGAACACCCTTGAAAAATGTCTCATTTCATTCCTGGAGAGAAGTGGTATGGTTAATGCATTGGGAAAGCAGCAGAAATGGAGATTGGAAGGTGAACAAAACATACTCCCAAAAGAAGAAAGCCAAGGGGACACGTAAAAAATAAAAAATCCCAGGCCGGGGAGATGGCTCAGTAGAATAAGCGCTTCCCTGGCAAGCACAAAAGCCTGAGTTCAATCTCCGGTTCCGGGAAAAAAAAAAAAAAAAAAATCCCTAAGGCAGTGGTGGAAAACAGTGCTGATGATAAAATGATACACTTGGTGATGGGGTGGGGGCCAGAGCACGTGGGTAGGATGTGGAGTCCCACCTGGGCCAACCAGGAGGAGAGGTAAAGCCAGTGAGCAGGTGTGAGCCAGGCTAATGCTGGCAGACAAGAAGGACAGAAGCTGATGAAGGTGAGAAGCAACATCAACACTGAGGGAAGATAAGCAAATTGATGAAGCAAGGGCCCAGATCCACATGAAGATAAACAAATATCAGGACAAGGACTTGGCCACAGAGATGCTGTGTCATCCTACAGGCTTGGATTTTCTTTATAAACTGAGGAGGCCTAAAGTCTTGTAAGCAGGAGATGACACAGGGGAAATGTATTCATGTAGATTACTCTGTTTGACCCTCAGTGATTTAACAGCATTCACTGCCATTGTACTTTTGAAGTTTTCCTTTAGAACCTGTACTGCAGCACCATGTAACTCAGTTGTGCCCCAAATTTTCTGATCAAGGAGATTATGGGGCCACAGAAGAATGTGATCAATGATGTAGAGTGTGCCTAAGGAGTCACATGGAGAGAAAACATTCTCTCAGGCTTTCACAGAGAGCAAATTGGTCAAGCAATGGCCATGACTCATCCACATGGCTGACACTGACAAAGGATCTACAAAGTGCAGTACAGGGTTACAGGATAAATCCTGAGAAGACATGAATGACTTATCAGATACAAAAGTTACATTTCTTGTTATATAGGTCTTCCTTTATCTTGGTTGTAACCATCCAGCAGAAAAGTATAAAAATGAGGTATATAAAGGAAAGCCATATTAATATGCTGAGCTGTAAAAGGCTCAAGTCAACAATTCCTGAGGATAACCCACTACTCTTGTGGCATGCTAGACTGTGTTGGATTGTTTGGCTGAATTCATGCACCTATAGTATTTAGATGCCAATAGAATACCCATCTCTGACAGGACTAAACAAAAAAAGGGGGATACAAAGGAAGAACCATTTTGTATTTGTATATACAGAATAGTTAGGATAGATATACAGCTACTTTCGCTTAATTCAATGAGAAGAAAGATTTGTACTAGAAGTAATTGGACAGAAAAAAAAAAGTTTTCTTTAAAAACAGATCCTATTTACTTACTCTTATCATTTCTTATACTCGGGAGACAATACAATGTGTACACAGGCTGGTCTGATTTATTTCACTTATTAGAATAATCTCTAGCTGCATCCATTTACCTATAAAAGCCTCATGTTTGTCTTTCTTTACAGCTCAGTAGCACTCCATTGTATAAGAATACCATATATTTGTTATCCGTTCCTCAGTTGATGGGCATTTGGGTTGATTCCAAGATTTAGCTATGACATCATGGTGCTTTAAGTTTACATGCTTATATCCAGTCATGTGAGCAATTATTTGGAAGGTACTAATATGCAATATAATAACCAAATAACCATTGTTAATTGCCTATCATCTTGTTTTGAAAGTCTGTATTGTTTTTATTGTTCTTTTTATTCTTTCTAAAATAAATTTAAAATTTCTATTCAACTATTGGCAATTAGTGAAGTTCAGGATAAAACACATTTATGACCCCATTTTAATGCTATACTAGACTTATTGCCCCCCCCCTTTTCTGATACCAGGAATTGAACTTAGGACCTCAAGCTTGTCAGGCAGGCAGGTACCAGCCACTGAGCTATATCCCAGGCCTCCCCATCCCATTCTTCTTCAAGAAGCTAAACATCTATCATCATTCACAATAGTTTCTAGCACTTGCATGAACATCTGCATAAGCATGATGTGAACAAGGAGCCATATGTTGATATGGGCTCATTGACCCTTTTGGACCTAATTGTAGTGAGAAAAAAAATGGATGTAGTCCCTAAACAATGAGGTTTATTAATAGGGGTTTTATGTTGAAAATCATAATTTCAAATATAATAATATGGTGAAATTTTTATTTTTAAATTTAATGGATAATTAAAATTCAGTTGAATAATGATTTAAAAATTAATCATTATTGGACTCAATATAGTTGACTTAAGAAGTTACTATTTTCTAAACTCTAAGTAACCATGTTTTTCCTGTTTCTTATATCTGCCAAACTCCAAACATATTCTTTCTTTTTTCTTCTCTTCTTTATTCCATCCTTCCCTTCCCCTGTCTTCCTTTCCTTTCCCTTCTCTTTTCCTTCCTTCCTTCCTTCCTTCCTTCCTTCCTTCCTTCCTTTCTTCCTTTCTTTCTTCTTTCCTTCCTTCTTTCCAATATAGACTTGAGAAAAGCATCAGAAATCAGTACTAAGAATTTTTCAACAAAAAAAAGTAGTTAGAATCTGATATCAACACATTTGAAATGTTCACATATTTTTTCCTGGCTATTTTCATGTGATTTGAAATCTTAATTCTAAGAGTAACTTTTTATATTTTACACATTAAATGTTTGCTGTCACAGAGAACATTGCCTTTGAAATTTTCTTTACCAACTTCTCTAAGAGCAGCAAGGACAGTCAGGTCATTTGACTATTTCTCCAGGGTCTCAGCCTCCCCTTAGAAACACACAATGGGGCACTGAGCCTTCTGAAGCAGTGGAACTTGTGCATCCATAGGCTTATGCTTCACCCTACTGCTCATGTAATGGGCAGAACACACCATTTCTGTCCTGACAGAACAGAAAAACACATGAGCAAGTGGCACAGGGGACTGGATGTGACCCTTTTGCTATCCTATGCACAAAATCAGGGTAAGATTTCTGTGATCCCCTTGAGTAGGGAAAGGAATCGTGGGTATTTAGTAAGCCAATTTTCTGATGCTTGGAGGTACTCTTCCCACAAAAGGATATTCACTGGGTGGCGAGAAGTAAAGAGGAAACCAGGGAGAATAATTTAAAAATTGTCTTCTGTTTAAAATTTAAAAAAAAAAATTTATTTATTTGGTACAGCGTCTCACTATGCAGCTCAAACTTGTAGTGCTCCTCCTGTCCCCAGTGCTGGATTACAGGCATGTGCCACCATGGCCAGTTCCAGTGGCTGGCATGGTGCACCTGGGCTTCCAGGGCTGGCATGGCATGTAGTACTAGGGATCGAACCTGGATCCTTGCATTCACCGGGCAGGTGCTTAAACCACTGAGCCATCTCCCCAGGCCAAAAATTCTCTTCTTAAATCAACTAAATTAGAATTATTTTTTCCTGATGAAGAAGCAATATGGTTCTATCCACCTATAATTAAAAAGCTTAGCTCACTGGCATGTCCTAAGGCCCTGCCTAAATGAGAATTGCAGTCCCAAGTACAACATGATTTTATCCAGTGAAGGTTTTATTAAGGTTGAGCAGTGAACTACTGGAAGAGTGATAAGAACTCATCTGGGAATGCACTATGGAGGTTAGCAGAGCTAAGAAGTTCATCAAAACCCATTTCTTTCAAAAAGGAAGCCATAACATTTTAACAACTTGTGTCCTGCAAGCTCTCATCTATGTGGAGGGAGACTATAAAAACATATTTATAATGCTTGGGACAATCACTCCTTCCCTAGATCCCGAGTTTTCTAAACTAGATTTAGCTTTTAAGTTAAATGAGAGGCTGTTTAGGGGAGGAGGGAAGATAAGTTGATGGAGTCCTCTGACTGAAGGCCAACCTGGCCAGGCTCTTCCTTTGCTACTTCGGTGAGAACTATTGGAGTTCTTTAGATGAAGGCATCGAGTACCATTTCCCTCTTTTTGGATGAGTTTTTCCTTTTGGTCTCAGGAGGGGTAAGAAAAGGGTAAGAAAAAAGTGTCTCTGTATAAGACAAAAACTCACTGACCCCACTTCAAGTGGTTGAGTCTCTCTCCAAGTACGAAGAGGCTGGCAGTCAAGACATAGCCAAGAAAGAAGAAGGCTGCAAGCCCCACGGAGCTGAGCTTTGCCAACACAGGATACACCCAGTGACCTGTCACAGAGTGCAGCCACAGGATCCTGCAGAGAATGAGAAGTCACACTGATTAGTACAGTGGAGACAGCCACATCAGCTCACCTGGCACCCCACCAGGTGAAAAGCAGCCCTGAGAAATGAGTGTTGACAGCTGGAATACTGCCAAAAAAACCCCAAAGTGAGTCTTTCTCTGGTAAACTGACTTGGCTTACGAAGACATCTTGCTTCATGAGGTGGGTGGGGCTTTTACTTCTGATGCATTAAGATCCAGTGTTGGTGAAAGCACATGGAAATACACAACCCCTCATTCGCCAAAGCCTGTGTGTGAGCACAACAGTGAATCATTCCTCTCTGTGAAGTGTAGAGCTTGCTGAGACACTGAACCTGCTAGGTGCTAGATGGTGTCCATTTGCAGGCTCCTAGCCAAAGAAGTGAGGTTTGCTTCTTATTTTTTGGTTTTTCGATTCACCAAGAGTAAGGACCACTCTTCTATCCATTCTCCAATTCCCAGCTGGAGCAGGAGGAGCCGCGATGTCACTGCCCTAATACAGTATACTCGGGGCTTACTTGCTGGCTCTGATACTAGCTCATGCATCTAATCATGCAGTGACTGCTAGCGGGAATAGATGGACTTAGAGGAGGCTCAGGTCTTGTTCACAGGAGGGTAGAATGTAAGTCATTTCTGTCAGCCCACAGAAGGGAAAGAAATGCTAGGAGAGAAGCTGTGATATCTAAGCGGAGCCTAAAAATGCAGTTTGCTGGAACCAACTACACTGGAAGATGCCAAAGTCTGAAATAACTTCGGAATTAAATATGGGAAAGATGTTGCATCAGCTACATTTATAATTGGTCAGAATACGGAATCTGGAACCCGGCTTCTCTGATTCAAATCCTAGCTTGGCCACATAGGATGCATGTTACCCTCTGCACTCTGTTCAAACTATCTGTTATAAAGTAGGGACCTAAGCAGTGTATAACTTGCCATGCTGTTGTAAAAATTAAGGAAGTTCCCACGTGTTAGCTACACACACATGTTGTATATAAGATACATAGAATAATGCCTGGCACACTGTAACCTTTTGACCAGAGTTCATGGGTGGGGCGTACTGCTAGAGTTTGTGATTAATTCATGATCCGATGCTGGGATTATGGGTGTGAGGGCTACTCTGGCCCTGGGGCAAGTAGACTGAATGCAATATAAGGAAGGGAGAGAGGCTTGCCTGGGCGGCTGCTGCTGCTGCCCCCCCTTTTTTGCTTTTGCTGTTTTGCTGTTTTCTGCCACCATTGACTGCCGCCCTCTGCCATGTGCCACTTTGTTTTGGAGCCAGCAGAGTATGGACTGAAACCTCCACTACCTGTGAGCTAAATAAGCCTTTTCCTTCCTTAATTTTCAAGGTCAAGTATTTTGTTCCAGCAACAAGAAAAAAGTAACTGAGACAGACAGCAAAGGTTATCTATGGAATATGGGAAAATTTTCAAAACAGTATCTAAGAAGAACTTAATATTCAGGGCATAAAAATTGCTCCTATAACTCAACAAAACCCCTGAGCAACTCAATTAAAATTAGCCGAAGACCCTGCCTAGACATTCTACAGAAAAGATATCCAGTCAGAAGACGTTTAACATTACTAGTGACTGGGGCAATGCAACAAAGCACGGTGAGTTACCATATCACTTACATGTATTAAGGTGGTTACAATTTTTTAAAAGAAAATGAATGTGGGAGAGGGTGTTGAGAAACTAGATCCCTCATGCAAAGTTGGGGAGAATGGAAAATGATAAGTCAACCATGATAAAATGCACGGGAGGTCACTGAACACCTCAAATAGATTCAACATATCATCCAGGGACTCCACCTCTGAGTATGTACACAAAGGACCTAAAGCAAAGACTCAAAAATATAGTTGTGCATCCATGTGCAGGGCAGCTCTGTTGACACTGGCCAAAAGATAGGAGCAACCCAAGGTCCACTGTGGGATGATGACAAGTGAAATGCAGCAAAACTGTACGTACACATTAAAAAAGAAAAACATTCTGGCAATGCTACATCCTGGATGAACTTTAAAGACACTTACTACGACGAAATAAGCCAGTAACTGAAGAACCCATGGTATATAATTTCACTTCTATGAAGAGCCACTAATGTCAACTTCAGAGAGACAGCAAGTACAGTGGAGATGGTAAAGGGGGTTGGGGAAAGGGGGTGTCTCAGTCAGTTTCCTTGTCACCCCAGCAAAATATCCAACACCCTCAATGTAAAGGAAAGGTTGATTTGGCTCATGGTTCAGTTCATGGTCCACCAGCTCCAAAGATCAAACAGCATGGCAGAGGGGCTTGGTGTTGCTCACATGATGGTGTCCAGGAAGTGGAGAAAGAAAGAGAAAGAACTAGGAGGGAGATTTACTTCCAGGTCATCCTCTCAATGACCTCCCTCTTCCCACAGGACCCTAAATCACTTTTTTTTTATTTTATTTTATTTTATGTATTTGGTACAAGGCCTCACTCTGCAGCTCAGACTCGTAGTGATCCTACTGTTTTCAGCCTCCCCAGTCTGGGATTACAGCCATGCACAACCATACCCAGACTCAGTCACTGGCTCACTGCACCTGAGGGTGGGGCCAGCAAGGCATCAGACCCCAACTCCTAAGAGCACATTTTTCACAGTACCCCATTGTTTTAGTTACTCTTCTCTCGTTGCTGGGACAAATACCCAACAACCAAAATGAAGGAAGGAAAGGTTTATTTAGCTTACAGTTACTGGAGGTTTCAGTCCCATATTCAGCTGGTTCCAAGGCAGAGAGCAACCTTTCATGGTGGTGGCAAAGAGCAAGAGCACAAAAGCAGTAGCAGCAGCTCAAGCAGCTAGCTTCTCTTCCCACCTTACATCGTAATGCAAATTACCTGCCCCAGGGCAGGTGCAGCATCCACATCCACAGTAATCAATCACCAACTCCAGAAGCTGCCCCAAGACTGCATGAGGCTTTGGGGGGACACCTAGACACAAACCATAACACCTATAATTCAACTACTTTTCAAAAGTGCCACCTAGGAGCACATAAGGGTGCAGAGAGATGACACAGAGGACAGGAATTAGTGTTAATGGGTTCAGAATTTCAAAAAGAAAAATGCGATGGATGGTGGTGACAGTTGTATGACATTGAATGTACTTAATGTCAATGAACTGCTCACTTGAAATGGTGAAAATGATAAATGTTATGACATGTGCATTTTATTACAACAAAAATTGAAGAAAGCTGCAGTCTTAGGGTCATGCAAGTTCATTCAATGGTTGGTCCCAGCTCTGCTGGAATTAGCTTGCTCTCCCAAAACCTGCATGGATGCATTTTCTAAACTGATCATGAAGCTACTGTAACAAATTCCATTATTCTTACTACAAATATTGGAATTCTTTAATTTTGAAAAAATTTATGGTACTGAGAATTGAGCCCAGAGCCTCATGTATGCTAAGAAAGCCTTCTAGTGCTGAGCTACATCCCCTGCAATTGCTCAATTTTATTTCGACATGGGATTTTGCTCAGCTTCCCAGACTAGAATTTGTGACCTTCTGACTCAGCCCCCAGAGTAGCTGGGGCTTATAGGTGTGTGTCTCACTTATTCTTTTCTCATTTCTGGGACAAATAACTAACACCCAAAATGAAGGGAGGAAAGATTTACTTCACTCACAGTTATTGGAGGTTTCAGTCCATACTGGACTTGCTCCAAGGCAGATGGCACAGGGAAGACAGCATCCATTCATGGAGGCAGCAAAGAGCAGAGAACAAAATGGAGGAATAACAGCAACAAGGGGAACAGGCAACAAGTGGCTGTAGAGAGGAAGTCCCTCTCCCTTAAATTGCATTCAGGCTATTGCCCCCGGTTGGGGAAGGTACACACACCCATAATCCCAGCAGTAACTAAAACCCATAACCCCAGCCTTGGATCAACCATAATCCCAGTGGATCCTGAGTCAATCACAAGCTCTAGAAGTCCCCACCCCATGACTGCATGAGGCTTTGGGGGGAACAACTAGACACGTACCGTAACAGTGTGCTTAGAATTCTTTGTAATGTACATCCCAGGGATGCATGAGAGGACATCCACAGTACTTTTTGTCCATGTCACTGCTTGTCGTGACAGGACAGAGAAACTATATGGGGCATAAGACAGATATTATGGA